GGATGAATGGGCAAACAACTATAATGGAGGGTAAAACATGGGAAGTTCTACAAAGGTACAAACCAGGTCAGGGGAGGTCGAGATCACTTCAGATTCAGAAATCGTGGAAGGCTTGCTTCATTGAGGAGCTAGAGCTTGATTTTGAAAGATGGGTAAGACTTAATCAGGTAGGATTGGAAGGATATGCCATTCAAGGGAAAAATGATGATGTAAACCAAGGTACAGAGAATGGTTCGGATGTGGCCAAAGATGTATAAAGGAGACTATTGAGGGAAGAAGCTGTAAGGCTTGTGTTGTGCCAGGTGGTAGAGGCTAGGCTAAATAGTTTGGGCTTCAGTCAGTAAGCAGTGGAGATGCCCAGGGGCAGTCTAATAGTGTCTGCTCTGTCAAGTGAATCATTTGTGTAAAAATATGCTAAGGATGATTGATAGTCTAAATAAGTTTCAAGATAACTATGTCAAGCAAATAATCACCGCTTTAAGTGTTCTCTTGTTTACTAAGCCAAGAGAGCTGACCCTTATAAAAAATATAAGATGAGAATAACACACTTGTGAAATATGAAAATATGTAGAAATTTTCTGATTTTTATGTCTTCTGCCACTAGAAGAGTCTCTACCTTGATGATGACAAAGATAAACAAACCAAAAACCTCAGAGCTCAGTCTTGAAAATTTTGTTTAGTGATTTCCTCTACCCCTTGACCTTTTGTACTACAGGCTTACTCTGAGAAGAGCGAATTACTCTATTTTGATCCGTTTTCAGTTATTCAAAAATTAGTGTTTGAAAGTGGAGAGGTTAATTTCAGTAAGTAGACTTTCTGAAGATGAATCTTTGTGCATGTATTGTAGATAGGAAAGTAAAGAGTATCCTAACAGCACAGATACTTAAATGTACTGAGGACTTCATCTTATACTGAGTAATTAGATAAAAGATATTCTGGTATCCCCAGTGCTATAGACTGAATGTTTGTGTCCCTCTAAAATTCATATGTTGAAATCCTAACCCCCAATATGATGGCATTAGAAGGTGGGACCTTTGGTAGGTGATTAGGTCGTGAGGATACAGCCCTCATGAATGGGATTAGTGCCCTTATAAAAAAGAGTCCAGAGAGCTCCCTAGGCCCTTCTGCCATGTGAGGACGTAGCAAATAGGCCATCTATGAACCAGGAAGCAAGCTCTCACCACACACGGAATCTGCTGGCTTGTTCTTGGACTTCCTAGCCTCCAAAATGAGAAATAAATGTTTATTGTTAATCAGCCACCCAGTCTATTGTATATTGTTATAGCTGCCCAAATGAACTAAGACACCCCAGAGAAGGGAGATGGGGGAGGGGAGATTGTAGGAACTTAGAAGAGAGAGGTTTTTAAGTATAAGAGCAAAATATGAACATCACTGTGGTTTATGCAGACATGCATGTTTTCCAATGGCCCGTTTTTTTCTGTCAGTTACAATTACCTATACCCCTCTGTGTTTTGGGGTCTGTTCTTCCTCTAAAGTGTGAGAGTTTGGTCTTTTGCTCCTGGGGGCTTTTTAGAGGCCTGAAAAGACTTCCCCCTGTTTTCTTTTTAAGGTCCCTCAGGAGATTTTGCAACGTTTACTGGTCTCTGAAAGGGAGGCAATAAAGGATTTTATCTTCTTTTTATAAACCTCATCTTCCTACAGATATGCTCCCAGCTGGCTAGGATGGGATGTTTCAAAGTTTTTCTTTTAGATGATTTAGAATATTGATGATCCCAAAAGCCATTAAGGGAAAACAATAATTTGGAGTCATATATAGTATATTGTACATTTTACAGAATGTAGACTGTAGTGATTTAATCTAAACTGAGAAAGGGGAGGTCTTTCTATCTTTTGGACTTGGAAGAACTTGTGTCAGTATAGCCTAGAGATGAAAACAGGACACAGAGAAAAATGATTTTTGCTTGTTTGTTGGTTTGTTTTTTAACAGTTGAGGAGGATTAGTACATAACTAGAATGACAGACAGGCAAATGGATAAGTAGACAGACATAGTCTGTATCCCCTACTTGAAACCACATGAGGCTTCCTGAATTGAAAATTAATGAAGGGTGGAAGTGTGCCGCAGAATCCTTTGGCAGAGGAAAGGCTGTAATGAGGATGACCTGAGAGTAAAGGCATGAAGGGGTCCTAAGTGACAGATTGGGGGAGGAGAGGGGCTAGTGTTTCACCACAGATAGTTTGAAAGCACTAAGATTTAGGGCAACATGGAACTGGAAAACAATACAAGTGGCTACAGGACAGGACTGAATGTACACACTTTGGTAAAACCTCTTGATGCCTTTACTATTTCCAGTTAGGGGTTATTATGACTATAAAACATCTATGAACATTCTTGTACACATCTTTTGATAGTCATATATGCTCATTTCCCTGGGATATAAACTTAAAAGTAGAATTGCCAAGTCATTTGGTAGACATATGTTTAGCTTTAGAAGAAACTGTCAGTTTTCCAAGGTGGCTATAGCATTTTACACTGCCACAGACAATGTATCAGTTTCAGTTATCACTTGTCCTCACAAACCTGGTGTTGTTTTTAATTTTAGCCTTTTTGATAGTGTGTAGTTATAAATCATTGTGGCTTTAATTGCATTGCCCTAAGGAGTAATGATGTTGAGCACATTTCACTTGCTTATTAACCATTTGGATATTCTCTTTTTTGAAGTGCCATGTAAGATTTTTCCCCATGTTTTAAATTGGGTTTTTATCCTTTTCTTTTTGATTTGTGGTAGTACTTGGTATATGCTGGGGATGAGTCCTTTGTTAGGTATATATATTAAAGATAGCTTCCCTCAGTCTGTGTATTACTTTTTCCCTTTCTTAATGGTGTCTTTTGATGAACAGGTTTTAATTTTGATGAAGTCTAATTTGTTATAATTTGTTTTCTTTTATGGATAGTGCTTTTTGTGTCTGGTTTAAGAAATCTTTGCTTTTCCCAAGATTTTGAAGATCTTTTCCTATGTTTTCTTCCAGAAGGTTTATAGTTTACCTTTCACATTTAGGTTTATGATTTATCTGGAATTAATTTTGTGGAAGATGTAGGTAGATGGTTAAGATTCATTTTTTTCCGTATACAGATATACAATTGTTCTAACATAGTTTATTGAAAAGACCATCTCTTCTGCCGTTGTGTTGATGCCTTTGTTGTAAATTGCTTGACTGTATCATGTGGATCTAATTCTAGACTCCCTGTTCTGTTTCAGTGACCTATTTGTCTATCCTTATGCCGGTACTTTACTGTCTTATTTACTGTAGTTTTATAGAAGGTCTTAAAATCTGATTCATTTATTTCTGAGATGTTTTAGAAACTGTGATTAGCTACATTTGTTTGATTTGGGGGTACATCCATCTATTATAAAATGAAAAAAATTCATATGTTTAATTGAAAGTGTATTAAACTTAGAACAAACTAATCGTTTTATAATACTTCATAGAGAACCTGTTTTTTAGGCTGTGCTAGGACAGAATTAGCTTTGCAGAACCTTTGCTTTTAAAATAGCTTACACTTCACGCTAACCTAAGATTAAGGTATGTTAGAAATGTACTGATAATCTCACTGGAAATTATGAAAAGATCAGAAAGATGGTTATTGAATGTGCAAAATGCTGTATGATAGGGGAAGAGACTTAATTTAAGCCATAGTTCATAGGCACAGTCTATTCTTCAGTAATGTGCTCTTTTAGCCTCATCTCTACATCTTCTAGTCATCAGAAAACATCCATATTGTTTTTAGACATTCAAAATTTTAGGCATTTATATTAGTCAGAGTCCTAGCAGGAAACAGAAGATGTACCTGGCTGGGATTTTAAAGAAATTTAATGAAGCTCCTATTTACAGACATATGGACAAGGTCAAAGAAACCAACATGGCACCTGGAGACTAGCAACAGCAGGAAATAGTTACCGCTTCCAGGGCTGAAGCAGCAAGAAGAAGAAATGGTGTTGTAGACTTCCAGTGAGAAGTAGAAACATGGGAGGTGGGCTACCTGACAGGAGCTGTGGTTGTAGAGGGTTGCAGCTTAAACCAAGGAAGAACTCAGGAAATAAATATCCTGACCTCTTTCTTCTGTATTCTGATTTGCCTGCTGGTGCCTCCTATTGGACAAGTCCAATCAGAAAACTATAAATGCAGTCTGTAAGAGTCAGTCTTCTGTGGCAGAACAGCAGGGAGAAAAAGGCCAGAAATGGATCTGGATGGGTGGGGGTGCTGGCAAACAGAAGAACCAGCACAGAATAGTTCCTTTCAACTGAAAAAAGAGGGTTTTTTCTTTTTAATGTAGTGGTTTCACCTATTACTTAGTTAGGGTGTAAAAATAGAGAAGTTTTGTTTTGCCTAGTGCAGCCAGATTTTTCTTTGTAACATAGAGAAAGTATGCACAGATCAAAAATCATTTCTGTTCAAGAAAAAGCAGCTTAGATGTAGTTCAGAAGAGTGTATGAGATCTAGAATACCTAAGTATCTTCCCTGTCATTTATCATTTGAACATGTTTAAAATATATCTTTCTCATAAATGATTTGAATAAGTTTTTTTTGCATTTTGCAATGACCATGAATATATTTAGAAGTAATATAAAACTATATATCTCCCCTTATAACCTGTCATTTATTTAAATGTCACATAATGAACCATTCTATATAAGTAACAGTTCAATTGATGGTGATGAGAGACTTTAAGCAAAATTTTTTGAAGTGTTCTTGTTCATTTCCTTTTTCCCCCAGTATGTGGAAATTTTTCAACATTTCCTGTCACATGGAAAGAGACAAGATAATTTGCCATGATGTATCTCAAAAATAGCATTTGAATATTTTAGTTCATTTAGAACATCACACTGTTCCTTTTCTGTACTACAATTATCTCTGTCACAGATAATATTCTGGGAATGTTCATTTCATATGTAAGCAGAAATATGACAGAAGCCTGAACTGAAATAGCAACTGAATTAGCTTATCATTTAAATTATATCTTTAAATACCTTTTACCTAGGTTCACGATGGTCCGTAGTGGAAAAAATGGTGACCTTCATCTTAAACAGATTGCATATTATAAACGAACTGGTGAATATCATCCAACTACTCTGCCGAGTGAGAGAAGTGGCATAAGAAGAGCAGCAAAAAAATTTGTCTTCAAAGGTAAAATTAATGCCCCAAATCTTGAGTATAGAGTTAATAGAGATGCTTCTCTATATGTGTTCCTTGTTTAATTTAGAGAATTTCTGTAGTAATTGGTTGTTGCTTAACAATTACCAGTTGAATTGATGATGCCACTCAGTCAAAAGCAAAATAAAAATCACCCTGAAGCTAACTGAAGGCCAGTAAGCATGAAAAGGGCATTTAAAATCATAGGCAGGGCCGGCCCGGTGGCGCAAGTCGTTAAGTGCACGCGCTCCGCTTTGGCGGCCCGGGGTTCGCAACTTCGGATCCCGGGCACGCACCGGCACACTGCTTGTCAAAGCCATGCTGTGGCGGTGTCCCATATAAAGTAGAGGAAGGTGGGCATGGATGTTTGCTCAGGGCCAACCTTCCTCAGCAAAAAAAAAAAAAAAAAGAAGAAGAGGATTGGCATTGGATGTTAGCTCAGGGCTGATCTTCCTCACAAAAAAAATAAAAAACCAAAACACTTCCCCAAATTAACCTCTCCTACTTTTGTCCTCAGGTGGTTCCTACTGTAATGGTGCATTTTCAAGCACCCATGTCACTATCAATGAAGAACTTACTTGATGCTTAGTAGAAAATGTTGACAAAGTTAACTTGTTGGTTTACTATATTTATTTCTGTAGTTCCCCTCTCCCACTGCCATAAAACATTCTCAATTCTCAGAATTACATTTTGTTTTGGACCCCGGAATCCTCCTGAATGGATTAAATATTTGAAAGGCACAGTGGAATATTTATCTTGAAAGATTATGATAATTTTTGCCTCTTTCTCCTCCTCCTTCCAAGGGGAAAAGAAATTTGGGATGAGATAAGCAAGAAATACAGTCACCAGGTAACTAAATGAATGTTGGTGCTATTAATGGGAGTTTTGCCTATAGGTACAGAATCAGGCATTTTCAAAGCAGGTCAAGAAAATTCTAAGATAATAAATAAATACATGCTCATCTCTCCCTATGTACACCCCTTCCAGTAACTCCCTTACACTTAAAAACAGGGACACCTATTACCTCTTAGACTAAAGTAAGCATTCATTTATTTAATCATTTATGCACCAAATGTTTACCGAGTTCCTGCTGTGTGCCAGTCACATTTTAGGCATTGCGGATTCACAGATGAATAATATAGATGAGGTTCCTGCCCTCAACTTGCTTATCTTCTAATTCAAATAAGGAATGTTTCACTCAGCATGTGCTTAATTAAGCACATTAGTAGCTTAAAGGTGTATTCTGGCATTTGAATAGTTACCTCATCCTCGGTGGAGAACTGGTGGTTCTCTCCCTGCCCTAGTTGCTTCCCAGCTGTCAGTTCTTCTCGGTATCCTCCAGAGGAAAACAGAGAATTGTCTTGAGGATTAAGGTTCTTCCACTTTCTGACTTTACCAACCCCACCTCCTACTCAAATCCAGAAAAACTTAAGAGAGGTGGTGGCTTACAAAAATGTATTTATGATAAAATGTATACTATTTTGGAAAATTTATTCCTAAAATTGCTTGTCTGTACATAATTCATTTGCTAATTCATGCCATTTTTAGGAGGTGCCTGCAAGTATTTTTCTAGTTTGAGTACTCCCGTAGAAAGATAATTTCATAGTCCCATAGTTATTATGTGCTTCGATGAACAAGCTAGCGCCACTTATATTGATAGCTACAAAATTATAGCAGCTAGTGCTCCTCCTACATATCTAGTAAGTGTAACAGCTGAGGACCTTTCAGATTGTATGGTAGCATCATTACAAATAAATGTTCTGTCTTAGAGGGAAAAAAGTTTTTAGTAAAAAAAAATTCCTCTGGTTTGAAGACAAGGCTATGATTATCTTAAAACTATATAGAGCTCTAAAAATTGCAACTCTCTCTTTTTGGTATCATTTATTCCAGAGAAAAAGCTGTTTTATGTTGGAAAAGACAGAAAACAAAATCGTTTGGTAATTGTTTCAGAAGAAGAAAAGAAGAAAGTCCTAAGAGAATGCCATGAAAATGACACTGGAGCCCATCATGGCATCTCCAGAACCCTTACTCTAGTGGAATCCAATTACTACTGGACTTCTGTGACCAATGATGTCAAACAGTGGGTATGGCTTATGTATTTAGAATATTTTGAAGAATGTCTTTGTAATAGATATCCAAAATTCATTATTGCTCCAGACTTACTCTGGGTAGCACCTCTCATTAAGTACTTTTTGTATGGGTAGTTTTTGTACAAAAACATTTAAAAGGGGTTTTATTTCCCTTCAGAATTCTTCTTTAAAATCAGTAAAGTATAATTTGAACTAGAACAAAGCATTATTTAAACATTTTGAAATACCATATTTAGATAGGAGATTTTTTAGAACCAGATTTTCATCATTGAACTCTTTTGTGTAGGCAGAATTTAAAGGGGAATAAAATTCTTTTGACTAAATCGTTGCCTTTTTGATGGCAGTCATGGAATCTTTTCTTGAGAGGAGAATATGTTCATAATAAGTCAGGCCCAGTGTGTGCTCTCATCTTTTGTGCCTATTTCATCTTGACATAGAAAATGTCAAAGAAACTCAAAATCAGCTAAATGCAGAATCAAGTTGTGAAGATGATGAAATCAGTCTGAGTTTTGTAACTTTATAACCCATCAGGACCTTCAACTTCTTCTAATAGAAAATTCACCTAGGAATTCTGGGATTCTTGCTGGTAGGTCAACTGATCTCTCCTCTTTCTAGCGTACTCTATATGGCAGATGGTAGGAATTCCTTGGTATGTATGTGAGATCCCTGTAATAATTGTAATAGTGCATCAAAAAGACTGTCATTTCAGGCATAAAGAATTAAACCAACATTTAGCTAAGTATCTTTTATGTGTTCTCAGTTTATGAGTCTATGCGGGTATTCCAAAGACCTTGATATTTATATTTGCCTTAAGAACCTGTCACACATTCCTTTACAAGCATTCAATGAAATCTTTGTCAGATCTTTGCATTTGAGAATGGATATGATGGACGTGATTTTTCGGAATAACCAGAGGTTATTTATGCATAAGTTGGAAAATAAAAATTTTGATCAAAAGTAACTATCATGCAATAAGATCATTTTTAAAATTTTGTTTAGGAGTTGGTTTGAAAGTAGTTTCCAAAGTGGAATTCCAGAAACCTGTTGAGCAGTGGCACCATCAATAAGTTGATCCGTTGATCTCTTCTCATCTCACTCAAAAGAAAGCTTCATGACAGCATGGGCTTTGTTTTTGTTCATTCTCTTTTCCCAGGACCTAAAGGAATTTCTAGCATCTATAAATATTGTTTGAATAAAATTATGTTTTAATAAATATTATTGGAATAGATGAGTGAATGAACTTATTAGAATGATAACTTTAAAAGAAAAAGCTTTTGCTTATAGAAATTAGTATATTTTCACGTACTGCTTTAAAGTTTATAGCAAACTTGTTTTAAGATTTATTAATTTAATAAATATTTATTGAATGTAAACCAGAATTACGTTCCTTGTGAGTAAGACTTCTTAAGATGATCATTGAATACTAGTAGCAAGTAATATTTGCTTATTACTCTGAATAGAAGCTTTTATTCTATTCTGAGAGTAGTCCAAAAGTTTCTCCTTTAAAACACAAAGTACCTATTAACCACTTTAAAGTTTACATTTATAAGACTGCTTTTGTTGTGTTGACTATATTAACATTTGTCTATCTTTTCTTTATTGTGTGCCTGTTTTATAGGTATATGCTTGTCAGCATTGCCAAGTGGCAAAAAATACAGTTATTCTAGCACCTAAACAGCACCTTCTCAAGGTGGAAAATCCATGGAGTATAGTTACTGTTGATCTGATGGGCCCATTTCATACAAGCAACAGAAGTCATGTATATGCTATAATCATGACAGATTTGTTCACCAAATGGGTTGTGATTTTGCCTCTGTGTGATGTTTCAGCCTCAGAAATTTCTAAAGCTATTATCAATATATTTTTCTTATATGGACCTCCTCAGAAAATAATAATGGACCAAAGAGATGAGTTCATTCATCAGGTGAGACAAACTACCTGGGTCTAGGAGCGTATTTTACTCATGTTTCAGTGCCCAGCGCACCTGTGCATTATAGGGTGCTTAATAAGTTTAGATAAATTGCTACAGATGTAGAGATTTAATATTGTATAGTACAAAGATAGTTAGACGGGAAATTAAGAGATCAAGATTTTAGTACTTTATGTGCCACTAACTAATTGTAAACCTATCTTCAGATTTCCTCAAACTAAAATAAGGAGATTGGACCAACCAGATTATCTTTGTTAACTTCTAGCTTAAAAATTCTATGATTGACATGTAGAGGGAGAATTGACTAAATAGGGGAATACATCATGTTCATGAATGAGAATATTCAATATTGAATGATAACGATTTTTCCCAAACCAAAATTAATTTATATAATTACTAAATTTCTAATCAGCTTTAAAAAAAGAGGGAGCTTTTTCCCTTGTCCAGACCTTTTTCTAGATTAAAGTTAACCTGGAAAAATAAGCATGCAAGAATATATATGAAAAATCTAAAAAAGGAATATAATAACTACTATACTCAAGGCATATTTAAAAATTTTTAATAATTGACAGGGTATTGTTATAAGAAAAAAATCAGAGATAGCCAGACTGTCTTGGTTCACAGCACCCTTGATATCTCAGTCCAAAAGAAATTCTGAAGTTATATTTATTAAGTAGTTAGGTCCTGCGTCAGGGAGTCCCTAAGATTTTCTCCAGGTTTTATGATTTACTAGGAGGGCTCCGCAGATGGTCATACTCACAGTTAAGATTTAATATAATGAAAGGATGCCAAGCAGAATCAGCAGAGAAAAGGCTCACGGGGAAAAGTCCAGGGGAAACCAGGTACAAGCTTCCAAGGTATCCTCTCCCAGTGGAATCATTCAAGACATGTTTAATTCTCTCAGCAAGGAGCTGTAGCAACACATGTAAAATGTTGTCTACCAGGGAACCACATTAGAGACTCGGTGCCTAGGATTTTTATTGGGGCTGGTCACATACACAACTTCTGCCTAGTATGTACCAAAATTCTAGACTCCCAACAGAAAGAAGGTGTTGAGCATAAACCACCTTGTTTGTATAAACAGTTTAGGCACGGTGAGCCACCCTTTTCTGTTAGGGAATGGTGGAAACCCTCCTGAAATTCAAGCTCCTAGACACTAGCCAAGGGCCAACTTTGTAAGCAGGCCTTTCAAAGGAGAGCAGCCTGAGGTCTGCTATGTTAACTCTTTTCTCCACAGGTCTAAACAACTTAATAAGTATTTACATCCTAACCGCTTAACCATTTAAAAAAATAAGACTCATAAATTGAAAGAAAAAATATTTTTATTTCATTCTTAAATAACCACAATTACTTACTAATGGGATGTGTGTATGTACCTATTTACCACTGCTCAGCTTCTCAAACCTTGGAATCAGATTGAACACTCATTTCCTGTTTCACATTGATTTTTACACAGTAGTTGCTCTTTATCACAGCATCTACTGAAAAACCAGTTCTGTAAAGATAAGACATCATCAAAAGGAATGTAGCCTTATCTAATGTTGAAACCAAAAACTACCTTTAGCTAGTGGTTTCCAAGGTGTACAACAGATGTTAAGGGGGCCCTTTGGCACAATTTGGAAACCATCGTTAACTTGATAGAGGTGGCATCACAAATGAGTGGAGTAGGGAAAGATTATTTAATAAATTTAATTTAACAACAATAGATAACAGTTTTCTAATTGTTTCTAGTTATTTCTATAATGTGATTTTAGAATTACATACCACATACCAAAATTGTTTTCAGGTAAATTAAAGAATTATTATTTTTTTAAATTGAAACAAAAAAAGTACAATTGACTTCTTATTTTTTTTATCTCTAGAGACAGAGGTAACATTCTAAGCTTAGCAACAGTGATATGAATTTCGGTGGAAAACATCACTAAATTTGGCTGCATATAAATTAGAAACTTATGTGTGGTAAAATAACTAAAACATAAAGACCAAGAAATAGGCTGGCAAAGATAAAGCAAATCCATGCAGGAAAGGGCTAATGTCTTTATTATACAATATTCAAACAAATTTAAAAATATAGTCAATGGCAAAAACGTAATTCACAAAAGGCAATAAAAATAATAAACATGAAGAAATGTTCAAACATAATAGTAGTGAGTAATGCACATTAAGACCACTTTTTGCTTATCTAATCAACAAAAATAGTAATAATACCAAAGAGACTCTGGGTAGAATGATATAGCCTTACATTACTGGTAGCATTACAACTTGAAACTAACTCTTTTGTAAAGCGGTTTGCCAAAAGTCCGTTAAGAGCTATTTATATTTTTGTCTTTTCATTAGCAATCCTATTTCTAAGAATTGTCTCTAAGGAAATTATTCATAGAATAGAGATAGTTCTTTTATGATGCTGTTTACCACAATGCTATTTATATTACTGAGAGACAAGAAACAACCTAAGTATCCAAAAAAGGAAGTGTTTCAGAAAATTATGTCTAGCCACATGATGAAATATTTTGTAGCCATTAAAAATGATGTTTAGGGCCAGTCCCGGTGGCCTAGTGGTTAAATTTGGTGTGCTTCAGCGGCACAGGTTCAGTTCCCGGGTGCAGACCTACACCGTTTGTCTGTCAGTGGCCATGGTGTGATGGCAGCTCATGTACAAAAAAAACAAGAGGAAGATTGGCAGCAGATGTTAGCTCAGGGCAAATCTTTCTCAGCAAAAAAAAAAAAAGACGTTTGCAATGAAACAAATAACATGGACAGTGTTTACCACATTAAGTTGAAAATTTGGATAAGAATATTATTACATATATTACATATACATATATTTACATAGATAACTATGTTAAAAAAAAGATATTAAAAAGTAAAATAAAAATCCATAAGGTTACCAAGGAGTTTTTTTTTAGAGTGATGAGATTATAGATTGTTTTTCTTAATTTTTTTTTTTTTCTTTTGTGAGGGAGATCAGCCCTGAGCTAACATCCATGCCAATCCTCTTTTTTTGCTGAGGAAGACCGGCCCTGAGCTAACATCCGTGCCGATCTTCCTCCACTTTATGTGGGACGCCGCCACAGCATAGCCTAATAAGCGGTGCGTCCGTGCGCCCCCAGGATCCAAACCCAGGCTGCCAGCAGCGGAGTGCACGCACTTAACTGTTACGCCATGGGGCCTGGCCCTGTTTTTCTTAATTTTTGAGTTTATTATGTTCCTTTTAAGTTTTTAGTGATTAAAATATACATAATCATTGGGCCAGCCCGGTGGCTTAAGTGGTTAAGTGCGCGCGCTTCGCTGTGGCAGCCCGGTGTTTGCCAGTTCGGATCCCAGAGCAGTGGTCTGCAAAATGGGGTGTGTAAGACAGTCCAGTTTGTGGGATGGGAATATTAAAACTTCTGTTTTTATTTCTTTTTTATCTAATAAGAAAAAAATGAAGGTTTACTAATAATGTATGCAGATTGATAATAGCATCTTGAATCAACAAGGCAGATGATTATATGTCACACCTTGTACGCGAAGGTATCCTGAGAGAAAAGTGAGAATCCACAACATGTAGGAGTCTACAGTGGTTCCCTCACTCATTCTTTTGTTTTCAACAGTAATTGAATTCATGGATATCGGCTAGTTTTCACCAGACTACTCCCCACAGAATAGCCAAGTGGCTTAAGTTTCTTTCAGTGAAACAAGATAATACCAGTAATGCAATCACCTATCAACCACGACAAAATGATAGAGCTGACACTTCTGCTTAACTTCTTGTCCTGGCTCTTTCATAGACACATTAATGAGATGATAACAAATATGAGCGAATCAGATCTGATAGGAAATTGGCTACCAAAATTCAAAATTATCAAGAAAACTATTTGAAATATTGGATTGCTTCCACCTTTATTAATGAAGAGCCTTACCCTAAGTGCGTACAGTGCTTCAAGATATTAGATAATGACAGTATGAAGCCGTTATGAATCGCCAGCAGTTTTTGCATCAAGTTTCAAGTCACGTAATAATCAGTCCAAGACTTTGAAAATTTTACCAAAGGTAAAGTAAATGTTTATAAGCCTCTTTTGTGAGGTTTAATGATAACAAAAAACTAAAAATCACATATGATTGGGAAAATTTGTTCTATTTGCTATGATTTAAGTGGCTTAAATATTACACAGAAAGCATAATGGTAACAAAATAAAATGTTTTCTTTTGTCAGCAAATACTGACAGAAAACACTGCTGAAGTGTTGAAATAAGATTAGAACATTTTACACAATGTGGGAGATTTATTATACAGTTCAATGAAAATACAGATGTTTCCAACACAGCTTAGAGTATTTGCTAAATTGTTTCAATAAAATTCACAAAGAATTTTTTGTAAACCTCTGAAGGAAAGAGAATAAACATTTTCAAAGGAAAAATTACTTCTTTAATTTGTTGGCTGCCAACCAGAGGTGTAGGTCCACGCCCACGAACCAAACCTGGGCCACCAAAGAGAAGCATGCCAAACTTAACCACTAGGCCATGGGGCTGACCTCTTGACTTCTTTTAGGCCCTGCACATAATAAATACAACAACAGTAATAATAGTAACATTAAGAGTTATAAAATGCTGACTACTTGCCAAGAAGTGTTTTAAGTGCTTTACAAACATTTACTCATTTAATCCTCAAAAGAGTCCTGGGTAGGATTTTCGTCATTTGGCAGATGAGGAAACTGAGGTTTAGTGATGTGGCCAAGGACACATAACTGTTACAGGATTACGTGACTTAGTGTTTATTTGAGAAACTGTCTACTGAATTAAAATGTTATTTGAACTCAGAGTTCATGTTAAATTCTGTTCTTCCATTTCTTTGTTGTATGTGTGTCTCTGACAAGGCACTTAACCTCTCAAAGTTTCATTTAGCTTTTTATCTTTAAAATGGGGTTAATAATGCCTCATAAGATTGTTGTAAGGTATAATGACAGTAATGTAAAGCACTTAGTGTGTTGACCAGCAGGTAATAAGGACTCAATAAATGGTAATTGCTGTTTTAAACAAAATAGGTATGTTTTTATATAGAATGGCTATGGTCAATGAAAAAGGCAAGATTCAAATTCTTTTGAAACCTTTCAGTCAAGGGAAAAATAAAATAGAAATTTTAAAGTCAACTTTGTTTTATATATTTTGCAGATCAATGTTGAACTTCGTGGATTGTTTGGCACAAAGCAAATTGTAATTTCTCACGCCTCCCAAACTGTTAATCCAACTGAAAGTCCATCTAGCGCAATCAAAACATTTCTTTCCAAACACTGTGCTGACCACCCAAACAATTGGGATGATCACCTATCAGCTGTTTCATTTGCCTTCAATGTGACTCACTTGGTATGTGCCTTTATAGAACTGTCTACTTTTGAGTTATGACTGTTTCTTGGCTAGATAAATGTTTTATTACAAATTGTTGTTTATTTTCCTTAAAATAGGAGCCTTCTAAAAATACACCATATTTTCAAATGTTTAATCGAAATCCTTGTGTGCCTGAGACTTCAGATATTCTTCATGAAGTGGATGGTGATAATACAAATATGTTTGCCAAAATTCTAGGTGCAATTAAAGAAGCTGACAAAATAATGGAGAATAAGACAACTTCAGCAGGCCAGGTGATTCTATTTAATAGAAAACTCTATAATCTAAAAATCTAGACAGTGATCGTTTTTTTAATTTCAGCATATACACACACATGGATGCACACACACATACATACGATATATCGTTAAACCAAATTTTTTTCTATCAAATTCTTCTTGTCTTGATTAAACAGTATGCTTATTAGCTATGAAATTCTGAGAGACAATAATGGGAAAGCCATGTATTTTGGAATCAAGTAGAGCTGAATTCAAATCCCTGGTCTTGTTGCTTTCCAGTTGTTTGACTTGGGCAAATTACTTAATCTATCTCAGTTTACCTTGTTTGTAAAGTTGAGGTAATAATACTGACTTTGAAATATTGTTTTAAGAATTAAGTGGGATTCATGCCTACCTTTTATAGCCTCTCAGTAAATAACCATTTTGTTATAATATTATTATCTGCATTTACCTTCAAGAAACTCGAGCTCTTTCATCCCTTTGTTCTCTTTTTTTTGCACTCGTAGATGGAGAACAACAATTTTGATGAACTAAATAAAAGCAAAATCATTGTTAAAAAGAAACCAAAGCAATTAAATCCATTTCATCTAAAAGTGGGTCACGAAGTTTTAAGACAAAGGAAAAATTGGTGGAAGGATGGCCGTTTTCAGTCTGAATGGGTTGGTCCTTGTGTCATAGATTATATTACAGAAAGTGGATGTGCTGTTCTGAGAGACAACACTGGGACTAGACTTAAAAGACCTATCAAAATGTCTCACCTTAAGCCCTATGTAAGAGAATCTAGTGAACAAGGTAAATATCTATCATTTCTCCACATTTTTACTTTCTTTGAATGAGAAGTTAAAAATATAAGAAATCTCCCCCCTCCTTTGGTTAGGTTTTTTTTTCCCTTCTCATTTTTATAAAATTTGGTACAGTTTTAGATACCTCGTAGTCTGTTTTATCAGAATGTCTCTTCTGGAACTGTCAGGCTTGTAAGAGATTTTATTTTGATTTCTAGTGCACTTTTCATACACTTTCCCACAGTTCATGTGGGAGATAGTGCGCCTGTTTCACAGAAGGAAGAGTTATGTCTGCTCTGTGTTCACTTTCACAATATTTTATTAGTCACTTTGTGCCTCATTTTAGCATGGAAAAGCAGCAATTAAGATAATTAATGCCAAAAAAAACCATACTGTCCAGAATCCTGTTGTGAGATAAATATATTAGGGTACTTTAAAAAATATGATTAATTTTTAATAATCTGAGTATTGTTGCATCATAGTCAGGTCATGGTGGGTGCAGGGTATGGTACAGAGTGGGATGTACCCAGAGTGCTCTAAGATGCTACAAGAAGAAATGACAGCACCCTGAACAAGGTTGTACTTGCCCCAAAATAAGGTTCTGAACAGTCAAGATATCCTGATCTTTCTAACCCTTTCTTTTCATAGGCTAGAGCTAAATGAGATTTTCCCAAAGCTTTCAGAGTAAGGCCCACTTTATTGAGACTCTTTTATTTTGTCCTATTGTATCTGCTCCCTAGAATTTCTCTGGGGTAGATAACTGAGAAGTTACTTGGTACCTTAGCCAGTTAATTTTGCCTTTTCTATAGAGAAAGAAAAAGCATCAGTATTATTTGAATATGAGTAACAATTAATGGAAGATACAATTTAGTACATTTTTGAACAATGTAAACAATGGAGTTATTTAATAGGCCTAAGTAAATAATAATTACAAAAGCACTAACAACAGATAACCTACACTTACCCTATTTTTTTAGGATATGAAGCCCTTGGGGGCTGCTCAGTAACAGCTCAACTCTGCCTCTCATCTGGGTCACTACTCTTGTGTCAAAAGCTTTTAGTACCTTTCCTTATGCTTGTGACAGACCTAGTTGCTCTAGTGGTAAACTTATCTTGGACTGGTCTCATTCTGAAAACTCACAGTACCTTCATTCTCTTAGAAGATAAGCATTTTCGTTCCCTGTGTGCCTCTTCTCGGTTCTGAACTACCCTTTTTAATTTCTCCCTTGTGCAAGTTAAGTAGGAAAAAAAAGGATTATACCTGTTGTCCTCTCTTCTTTATGCTGATTTTCCCATTAATCTTTGGCATTCAGGACTTGCTCCCTTTTAATGTGTTAACCTTCCTTAATTAATACAAAATTTACGCTTAAAATGTGGCTGTATCAGGATCTGTTTCAACATTTTGCAATTTGCTCTTACCAAAGACTTTCTTAGAAAGGAGGCCAAACATTTTGCTACTCCTGCATTTTTCAGAACCCAATTGAGTAGAAGAGTTTCTAAACAGAGACAGTATAATTTTTGCCTCTTGCTTGAATTCTCTGCAGATACTCTTCCAGTAATGGAAAGGAAGTTGCTCACTCACATTAGTACTGGTGTATATATAAGGAACCTGAGATTGATGGGTCGAATTGTTTTTTCTTGTTAACCAAAGGAAGTACCGATCTGGCCATCTTGGAATCTGGTGCTATTTGATCCTTTTTTTGTTTTTCTCTTAATTTGCAGAAATTCGAAATAAATGTGATTTCTGCCATCTTTTTCTTCAGTATTGCATATTTTCCTGAAAATCTTTACCTCAAAAGCTGATTTTAAATAGTCCTTGAACTGAATTTAAAGCAAACAAAATGTCTTTGAATAATCATCCCATTTTTTTTATTTGATGTAAATTTGGACGAGCTGTAGCCAAAAGAACTATGAATTTGTCTGTCTGCACTTGTCAGTGGTACTCTTACCAGCCTTGAGATTTTGTAGCTGTATTAAAGACTCACTGTCCAAAGCAGATATGCTTCTGTTGCCAACTTCTTATCCATTCTTATCTAGAACATAATGTAGAGAGAGCACATTCAGTACTAGGTCTATAATATTTCTCATTGCTATTTTAGGCAAGCCTCTGTCATTTTGTCTAGTTTAATGCCAGGCACCTTTTCAAGATTAATTATTTTAACAAGAAATTTTATGACCATAGTGTCTTTGTAATCATAATGTTCCCCTTTGAAAGGGAAAATGTTATTGACCCATTATTCTATCCACCATAGATTTTGAGTAGTTTTATTTGTTTGTTTTGTTTTGGGTGGGAGTTATTGTGGTAGATTTGTGTCTGCCTCCTACAAAGGTGTTAGTCTGATTTTCCTTCACAGAAAAACATGTGAGATGTTTTTCATTATTTTGTAAGTTTTCTGTTGCTGCCATAACATTACCACAAATTTAGTGACTTAACACAAATTTATTTTACAGTTCTGCAGCTTGGAAGTCCAAAATAGGTCTCACTGGACTAAAATCAAGACATTCAGGGCTGTCTTCCTTTTTGGAGGCTCTAGAAAAGAATCTGTTTCCTTGCCTTTTCCACCTTCTGGAGGCTACTCACATTGCTTGGCTTGTGGCCCTCTTCCTGTATCTTCAAAGCCAGCAATGGCAGATAGAGGCCTCCTCACATCAGGTCACTCCAACCTGCTCTTCTTCTTCCCTATTCCACATTTAAGTACCCTCGTCCTTCAGCCCACCTGGGTAATCTCCCTATTTTAAGGTCAGCTAGTTAGCAACCTTAATTCCATCACTACCCTAATTCTCCTTTGCCGTGTAAGATAACGTACTCGCAGGTTCCAGGGATTAGTACATGGACATCTTTAGGGGCCCATTATTCTGCCTACCACAATTATGGTCTACATTCATGAAACAAAACAAAGCTTAGCCCCTGTGTTATCAAGCCCATGATCTTGGCTTTATTATTAATATAGTTTATACAAAGAGCCTCCCTTTGGCCTCTTAGTTATGTAATCTCTAAACTAATAATCGTTCAGTTTTCTGTTAGTATTGGTTATCTATTATAATGACAATTATATAGTATCAAGTTATAGTTATTAGTTGTTATTTTATCAAGAGAAAGGGTATACTAGTATGGCAACACATTCTAATAGTTTTAGGATTATCAGGCCATGTATAGGATTACTCTAGTCACCTGTCTTCAGAATAAGAAAATTAATTATTCTGAAACCTTGTACTTTCCTTTCCATTTGAAGAAATAGATTAATCCAAATCACTCAGACTTCTGAAGCTTTGATTTTAACTTATTTTTCTCCTTAAAGAACTTTAAAAATTTATATCTTAATCTCATTTTTTTACTCCTTAAAGCTACATAAGGAAAAGTGTGTCAAAACTGCTAATGACACCTTCCTGTAATGTCTTGAAAATATCTCCATTTTTAGGAAAGTAAAAACCTTAATTATTTAGTCTTGTCAAAACTGAAATAATGCTTTTATTAAACAGATGTCATAATCATAACTAAATTGATAGAATGAGAAAAGAAAAATACTTAAGAAGAGTCTATAGTGTAATGTGACTGAGTAGAGAAGTCCTTTAAATATGGTGTTTGTTTACCTCTCTCTATCTTGAGGGCAAAAACTTATCTTGTTCTTTTCTATATTTTTAACTCAGGATTATTCTAGATCAGTACTGTCCAATAGATATATAATGCAAAAATTGTGTAATAAGTAATTTTAAATTTTCTAGTAGCCATGTTAAAAAATTACAAGAAAATAGGTGAAAATAATTTTAATAATATATTTTATATAACCCAATGAATCTAAAATATTATTTCAACATGGACGTAAGGCCTCAAGAGTCTCTTTTCTGGTTATCTTTGGTAATCTTTTTTGAAGGTAAAGAGCATTTCTCTTGGTTCCAGAAGATTGAGACCATAGTAGGAGTTGAAGCATATTTGACCTTTCTGAATGAATGAGAATTTTGTTTTTTTCCTACACAAACAAGGCTTGAAATCTCCAGAGTGGGTTTCCATTGCATATAAAGTGATTTGTGTAGAATTTGATGAATGTAATCCTTGTTCTCTACAGTTTTATTACAATAAGGTGCTTTAAAGTTTATCACTTATTTAAAAGAAAGTGTGTACATATATATTCAGATATATATATTCAAATATATATATGTATGTCACTTACTTATATAGCTCTCCTCTTACAAACAAGTGAGGTTGGTAAAGTCCGTTCTTTTCTAAGTCCAGTGTAACTAGGAGGTTCTTAAGCTCCAGGTCTATGAATGCATTTCCAGCAAATGAAAATAATAACTTCTAAGAGCTTTACATATATGCATATTTTCCCAGTCGATATATGTTTACTGGACATATTTTTCTGAAATAGACCTACTTCATCTGTTTGGAAAAAAAATTTTGAGATAGAAAACTTCCTTCATCAAAAATCTCTGCAAAGATCTTTGGAAATACCCTAAGTGCTGTGGTATGTGCTGTCACTGATACTCTGCAGCACTGTACAGGCCTTGAATCTATGGAATTCTCCATGGCTTGTTAGAAAAATTTCATCAGCAGCACTTTTACTATATCTTACCTTTTTAAGCTCTCTTCTAAACTACTACCTAGCCTTCTCCAGGTGTTAAGAGGCCAATAGCAAACGTGGATGTTGAACCTCTAGCAACACATTCTAAAAGTGTTTCAATTTCATTGATCATTTTTCTTCTTTCTTGCTGCTATTGTGCATAGCACTTCTCCTGGGTTGCATGATTTTTTTGTATGCTTCAGAATTGTGCCTCTTGTCCAGCAATTCATCCATACTAACATACAAATTCATTGTCTTGCCACCTTCAATTATCCATACTTTTATTTCCATCATAAATATGTGTATCTTCTTAAGAATATTTTCAGTCTAATTACTACTTTTGCATTAAGAAGAATTGGGGGGATTAAACTTAGAAAACTTCTCAAAACTAAAATACCAAGAATACTTTGCCTAATGAAGAACTGAGTGGGCAAAACTAAATGTCTTTAGAAGTCCAAGTCCACTTATTCCATCTGTCAGTAGAGAGCATAGCTTTGTTTCATCTACTAAAGTTTGTAAATTGGAAGTTCTTAAATGTATAAACTTCTGGGATTGGAATAGGCCCAAGTGAGCTTTTCACATATTAGTATGAGGATGGGTGGAGTGGGATCGTGTTCCAGGACATATTAACAAATTTGTCTGCTCTGAGAAACTTTCATTGATCTCTAATTTAAATGGGCAATTAATCTTCCTTTTGCTATTTCTCGAACTTAAAATTTGAGAACTCTTTAAGCTATTAAAATCTTCAAGAGAATCTTGATGTTTTGGGAGAAAATCCAGAAAGAGAAGGCAGGGGTCCAGGAAGTTAATCAGCTGTGGTGAAAGAGTTCCTTGTAATGAATTAAAACGTCAGGTAGGGAGGAATCCTTTTATATACATTAACATTTATTTATAAAGATGCTGCTGCTTGGCTATCAGTTTAACATTTGAGTATTTTTTTCCTGGTGGTGATGATAAATTTGCTCAAAATAGAATAAAATTTGACAAGGAAAATTCCTTGTCAGTATTTCAGTATGGAGTCAGCTACACCTTAAAAGTTTTTAAGTATTTTCATATTAAATTAGACTTAAGTAAGCTAAGCTTTTAAAACTACTTCATTGCAACCTGCCTACTTACACATTCCTATTACGTAAGACTGATTCTAGAAACTTTATCTTCGTTTTAGTTTATAACTTTATATTGTAATTACTGTATAATATTTATTACAATACAAATAATACAATATAAATACAGTACAATACAAAATAATATATTGTAATTTGATATTGCCCTAATATGGATTCTATAAAGATTGGAAAATTATCTCAAGTTGTAAATTTAAGGATTTAACAATTCTATTTGTTAAAATCTTTTAAGACCCTGTTAATTCACCCAGAAATGCTTTGCAAAAGCATATTAAGGATATCATCAGGGGCCGGCCCTGTGGCTTAGCGGTTAAGCGTGCACACTCCACTGCTGGCGACCTGGGTTCTCCCGGGCGCGCACCAACGCACCACTTCTCTGGCCATGCTGAGGCCGTGTCCCACATACAGCAACTATAAGGATGTGCAGCTGTGACATACAACTATCTACTGGGGCTTTGGGGGAAAAAATAAATAAAATTAAAAAAAAATATATCATCAACATCAAAAATATAGTTTTATAACTTTGTTTTTAATCTATACCATAATCCTGAGCCCCTTTCACCCCCTCACCCACACCTACCAAAGACAGGTCAATGGAACAGGAAAACATGACTCTCTTAAAATCTTGGTCTTTCCCGAATTCTGTATGTATGAACTGTCAAATTTATATATCATTTTATTTATTCTTTGACATATATATTTATTTAGTAGATAGGAGAACACACCAGAAGTTAATCTTGATAGTTAATTTTTTTACTGGGAATTTTGTTCCACATTAAACATTGTTTAATTTTTTTTAAATGATGTTTGATTATAATTCTAAAAGGCAAACTTATGATGTTTCTTCTTTCAGACAGTCTTTATCTCTTACAAGGTTCAGTGGTGGCAGATCATGACTACATTGGATGGCCTGAAATTCCAGTTGGAGCATACCAAGCCAATATTCTGGTAGAAGATGCAACTATTGGCATAGTTGGTAATGAATTACTGACATCAAGCAAGGATCGTGAACTATTAGAATATAGAAATGCCAAAATCTGTCCGTTGATAGACGATCACAGTACTCTTGAAAAGCAGACTTTTAGTCTGTTGGACTCTTCAAACCAAGTCCTTGAGTACTTAAGTTAGTGAATACCAAAATTCATTTAAAGTGCTTGTTTAGAATGTATAACTCCTTGAATCTTGATATCTTTTCCATCAAAAAAGGTTGTATAGAAGAAGTGTCTTTACACACTCTTAATGACAAATCCTGAAGGTTTATTTTATAACTATTTATTTATCCAAAGGTGTGCCACGTTTGAATATCAGTGCATACATATAAAGGCAAAGGAAGCGTATATAGAATTCACTTTCTCTTCTACAAAGAGAACAGGCAAAGCATGCTTGCTTCTTAAGAAGTAAACTAAATTCCAGCCTAAAACTCTCAGATCTTTGTCTGATATGGATCCATGTTTTCAGTTTTAATTTTTTTGAAATATTTCCCCCTTTTAAAAAATGTTTGAACTACCTAGAATGGGATTAATAAATATTTATTCAACCATACAGTGAATTAAGTGAAACTTTTTTCTGTGTCATTGGAACTTCTAAAAACAATATTGTAGGAAAATATTTAGAATTGTTTAATGAGCTCTTACAGGATATTGGTACTTTTACCTTGTTAGACAGGCTCAGGATTAGGATCTGAAACTGTATGTTGATTTGAAAACATTTGTGCATTTCCATAATATCTCTTAAAGCCAAAAGTATCCATTAATAGGATTTTCGTTTGCAATCATGAAAAAGTCACTAATGATAAAGTAACCAATATCAAAGATTTTCAACTATAATTTCTATGATATATATATCTTCATTCAACAATATTTGTTATAAAGCACTTTGAAGAATACTGTGGGAAGATCAAAAGATGAGTCAGATGTGTGCCTGGTCCTCATGAGGGACTTACAGTTTGGTAAAAAATATAGAATAACACAAGTTAGAAGTTACGTGCTAAATTCCATAAGAGAAGGACAAATAATGTACTTGAGGCAAGAAAGAGAGGTTATTTCTGAATAGTAAACTTGTTTATGCTTATGGAAGAAGAATCATTTGAGTTTGACCTTGAAGAATGTATAGGATTGGTGAAAGTACAAAAGAATTAGAGGAGAAGAAACGCACAGAAACAGGAAAGTATTGTAATGATTCACAGAAGGGCAGGGCTTTTTGTTGTCCACAGTGCCTCGAGTATAAAGTGAAGTAGAGAGGTACAGGGAGATAAGGCTGAAAAGGGAAGTAGGAAACCTTGTGAAGGGCTTTGAATACTATTATGAGTTGAATTGTTTCCCCCCCTCAAATTCATAAGTTGAAATCCTAACCCATAGTAACTCAGAATGTGACCTTATTTGGAAATAAGATTATTGCAGATATTAACATTAGTTAAGATGAGAGCATATTGGAGTAGAGTGGGGCCCTAATTCAATATGACTGATGTCCTTACAAAAGGGGGAAATTTGGACACAGACTCAGGAAGAATGCCATGTGAAGATGAAGGCAAAAATTGGGGTGATTCTTCTATAAGCCAAGAAATGCCCAAGATTACCAACAAACCTCAGAAACCATGGGAGAGGCATGGAACAGATTCCTTCTCACAGCCCTTGGAAGGAGCCAACCCTGTCAACACCTTCATCTCACATTTGTGGCCTCCAGAACTGAGACAATAAATATCTTTTGTTTAAACCACCAAGTTTGTAGCACTTTGTTACAGCAGCCCTACCAAAGGGCTAAATTATTTTTTATTTTCTGAGACCTATTGAAAGTCTTTGTATAGGGAAGTGTCATAATCAGAACAGTGTTTTAGGAAGTTTGATCTGGCACCTAGTAAAGAATTGATTAAAGGATGAGGGAAGAACAGCATGGGGATTAGTTGATATAATTTGCAGTGATGATGAGTAATAGAAACCTTAACTATGCTGATAGCATTAGTAATGAATGGAGCATTTCTTAAGATCTATAGAGTATCTCACATATTTTATGCATCAACCATACTGAACAGTGATATGTGATCTTGAAAATGGAGACCTGTATTGCAATTACTAATTTAAGAAGAAAGATTTAAATTATGTTTAATATAGGCCGAAGGATAAGTGATTTGGGGAAAGAAATCAATCCAGGACCTCATCTTATACGAGAGACTGAATAAATTCCAGGTAGAATTCCAGAAAGAAACCTTAAGAAAGCATAGTTGTCTCAAACAGTGATACCTATCTTGCTCCCATCAGCAGAACAAAGTTCATGATGGAGTCATATTGGATGCTCTCTTGGTTAAATATAAGTGGTCAAGTGTCCTTTTCTTAGCTCAAATGAAGTAACTTTCTTTCGGTGATCATCCGACCCAGAATCAGCCTCTTTTTCCATTGTAAGAGGATAATTAGTAATGAGTCATTTTAGAATTACAATTTCTAAACATTTTTTTTTAAATTCTGCCTCTCCTTAATAATTTTTCATCAAACAGACCTTTATCCTGTGTACATCGGTCATGTTGAGCTATGCTATGCTGGGTCTACAAACAATTCCAAAATCTTAGTGCCTTAAAACGACAAAGCTTTATTTCTTAGTCACCCTCTCAGTTCATTAAGAGCGTGGCTCCATTTTCATCCTCACTCCAAGATGCAGGCTGATGGAGCCTCACCTCTGGAATACACCATCACCATAGCAAGGGGAGAAGATGGGGAAGTGAGCACCAGCTCTGAAGGGACTTGCTGTGAAGTTACGCACATCCTTCCCACTGGTGTTACAATGGTCAGACCTAGTCACACACTGCTAATGGATACAGGTTTCTTTTTGTGGTGATGACAATGTTCTCAAGTTAGTAGCGATGGTTGCATAACTCTGAAAATTCTAAAATCCACTGAATTGTAAACTTTAAAAGGATGAATTTTATGGTATGAGAATCATATCTCAATAAAATTTTATAAAAAGAGTCTAAACCAAAGTTTTCAAAAAAAAATGAGCCACACCTAATGCCAAAGGATAGGTAAGTACCATCCTACTATATTCCTGGAAGGAAGAAAAGCAGAATATTGGTGGATAGCTGTAATAGTTGCCATTCTCATCTCTGTTTGCAAATTCTATTATAGGCATGTGTGATGAAAGTTATTTTTACTTCGTGATAAATAGCCAATACAAGCTATTCAAATAAAATGCTGATTTTATTACTGAAATCTCAGGATTCTAATGTGGAGATTCCAAATACAAATTTTAAGTAAACAAATACAGAAAATACCCACAAATTATATACATGCACATAGTCTTTAATGTTTGCAGATCCCGGACAACAGCGAAAATGGAGATCTACGTACCAGATACCTAAATATTTAGAAGGTATAAATTAAGCTAACAAACTATTCCTACCTCGGCAAATATGCCTTCTTAAGGTTTCTAGAATTCTTGAACTTCTCAAGCCTCACCCTAATAAGTTTGGGCAAAGCAGGGAGAGCTGTTCTCAGAGAGCCCTCTTTGTCCCAACCCACCCCAGTTCCTGCAGACGCAGCCCTTGACCAGCCCAGGCCTTTGGAATGTGCTCTCCAGCTTTCTGTTCACCCTCCCGGGACAGACCAGGAAGGCCTTGGAAGAGGTTCTCCAGGGAAGGAAGGGCATGTCCGTGGGCCTTGTGGTCTTCTCACCGTGCAGGGGGGGACATATGCTCTAAGGAGACAGCCTTGCCTTCAACCACAGTGTCCAGAGTGGGGTCCCTCTTGCCTGGATTTAAGGGAGGTTTTCTATAAGAAGTGTAGAGTAAAATTTTGACCAAAAAAATCCAGAAATATCTTTATGAGGTTCTATATGCCATCTTGTGGTATTTTAATGAACAGTTAAAACATGATATAGAAGGAAATGGAGATGCTGAGCTATACAAGAAAGGAAAAATATATTTTGAATGAGAATAATTTCCTGGTTTGAAAAGTTATTTTCAAATATGATAAACATTTCAAGTGTAAAATTTTCTTATAATATCATCTAAAAAAAGTAAGATTTATAAAAGAATACTTAACTACATTTTTAACTATGGGATTCATTCATACACTCAAAAAACATGTAACGCCTGCTATGTCCCAGGTCCTGTTCTGGCACTGAGGTTATATTAGTGAGAAACAGAAATCCCTGCCCTCCTAGAGTTTACGTTCCAGTAGGATGGTGAAATGGTGACCAGTAGTTCTTAATGAAGACATTTCTTTACTTACATCCAATCTTAAAGTCTCATTGATAGCCTTTTTCACAGACATCTTGTTGGGATCCCTACCGTAAGCCTTGAAAAGCGTAAATATTCTGTTCCACTTATTTTTTGGCTGTGTAGAAAGTTGTAACAACGTTTTGTTCAGAGGTCTAAAAAGGACTGGACCACTTCCAGATGCAGTTTCTAACCATTATAATTAATAATTAAAAACCAAAATAAGCATTTAAAAAGAAAAATTTTTCGGGGCCGGCCTGGTGGCGCAAGTGGTTAAGTGCGCGCGCTCTGCTGCGGCGGCCCGGGGTTCGCTGGTTCGGATCCCGGGCGCACACCGACGCACTGCTTGGCAAGCCATGCTGTGGCGGCGTCCCATATAAAGTGGAGGAAGATGGGCACAGATGTTAGCCCAGGGCCGTCTTCCT